CCAGGTCCTGGGGGCTCCAGGCTCCCTGCCCAGGCTCTCTCAAGAACACGGCCAGGCCAATGCTCAGCACAGAAAAGCCCTGTGAGCAGCCCCAGGCTGGCCGTGGGCAGGCTGGGAGCAAACAGCATGGCTGGGGCTCTGCAAGGGCCGTGGGGGAGACGGGAAGGAGCAGCAGAGCAGTGGCTGATCCATCCCCAGTGCACTGCACAGCCCAGGGCAGTGTCCCAGAGCATCCTGATGGAGCTGCCAACAACATCCCCCCTCTGCAGCCCTGGCCTCTCCCCCAGCTCACACAGGTGCCCCATCCTTGCAGGCACAGACACGGCAGCACTTGCTCAGCAGCCCCTGTTTGCATTGCACACAGCAGGCTGGAGCACCCCATACTTTTGGTTTGGGGATATGAACGTGAGGGAGCACAAATGCCATCAGCCCCTGGGGCCACCAAGGGCTGAGGGAAACCAGGGAAACCACTCAGCTTTGTCCTGGCTTCTGCAGACAGCCAGAAAGTTTGTTCCCATCAGCTGGGAGTTTCCTGTTCCACTGCAGACCCTGTTGCTCAAAGCCAGGGCTACCTGGCAGCTACTCCCAAACTGCCCTCAGCATTTCCTTGCCTTTACCTTTGCTTTCTTTACTTTTCCCTGCTACAAATGTCTTCCTTTTGCTCACTACAGGGGGCTTAGAACTGGACACAACACTCAAGTCTCTGCCCAACCAGTGCTGAGCACAGGGGAAGAATCCCTGCCCTGCTCCTGCTGACCACACCATTCCTGATCCAGGCCAGGAGCCATTGGCCTTCTTGCCCACCTGGGCACACTGCTGGCTCATATCCAGCCTGCTGTCCATCAGTCCCTGCAGGTCTCTTTCTGCCTGGCTGCTCTCCAGCCACTCTGTCCCCAGCCTGTAGTGCTGCAGGGATTGTTGTGACCAAAGTGCATGACCTGGCACTTGGACTTGTTCAGCCTCACTTTGTTGGATTTGGCCCCTGGATCCAGCCTGTCCATGGCCCTGTGCAGAGCCCTCCTACCCTCCAGCAGATCCACACTCCCAGACAACTTGGTGTCACCATTGTTCCATAAGGCCCCAGAGTGTCTCAATTATCTCCATGATTCCATGAGGCCTCCCAGTGTCACAATGTCCCTTTGGTTCCATGGGACCCCTTGGTGTCACCAAGTCCCTTGGATCCTTGGGCCCTGCAGTGTGACAAAGGCCCTTGGTCCCCCAAGGCCCTGCAGTGTCACAGTGGATCCTTGGTTCCATGAGGTCTGGCAGTGCAGCAATGCTCTCCTTGGTTCCACAGTGTCACAATGGCCTCTTAGTCCCAAGGGCCGCCATGGTGTCAAACACGTTTTCTTCATTCCATGAGGCCCTGAGGAGCAGCACTGGCCCCTTGGTTCCATGGGGCCCTGCAGTGTCACAATGGCCCCATCATGACACCAGGTCCTGCTTTGTCACAATGCTCTGCATGGTCCCAAAAGGCCCTGCAGGGTCACAGTGGCCTCTCGGTTCCATGAGGCCTCGGAGTGCCACAAGGAATTCCTTAGTGCTGCAGTGTCACACTGATCCTTTAGTGTCACCAGGGACCCTTAGTTTCATGGGGCATCAGAGTGTCACAGTTGTTCCCTGGGTTCCCATGGTCCTTGCAAAGGAGCAATGGCCCCTTGATTCCATTGTCCCCAGGCTCTCCCAAGGGTCTCCTTTGTTCCGTAGTGGCACAATGGCCCCTTGGTTTCACAAGGCCCCGCAGGGTCACAGTGGTCCCTTGATTCCATTGTCCCCAGGCTCAAACAACTGCTCCATGGTTCCAGAGAATCACAGAATGAGCAAGGTTGGGCATTGAATTCCAGCACACACCTCCGCTCTCTGATGATCCCGGCACCATGCTGGGCCTGTTTCAGGCTGCAGCAGAGCAGATGTTGATGGGACAGGAGCCCTACGGTGCTGTCAGAGCACCTTGCAAGCTGTTACAGCTTGCAAGGTGCTCTGCTCTCTATCAGGTGCTCTCTGAGAGATCCAATCCCAGCTGGGCGCCTCAGGGCACAAGTGGCACTGCCTGTTCATGGGCACACAGCTGATATCTGCCTGGAAAGGGGCACAGGTTTTAGTACCTGTTAGTTTCATAATACACAAGCAAATCTTTATTCTCTGGGTCATTTGAGTAGTTTTAAGAAATGGCAAAGTTTTCCCACCAGGACCGGGGATTTCTTGGAAGTGTACTGATGGCAGGAGAAGAAATACTGATCTTCCCATCACCTTGTGTCACCAATATTCAGCCTAATATTTAATCTCTCTCTTTTCCATCAAGTGTTTCCAGCTCTCCTGTTTAAAGGGCTGTGTCTAAGGACATCTCTTCAGAGGGATCTCCAGAGGGATCTCTGACTTTCCAACTGCTCCCACATTTTCTCCTCCAGATGTTATCTGGATGTTCAAGGGCCTCTCAGCTGACTGATTTCATGGTTTGAGCTCCAGGGAGTTGCCCAATTTTCTGATGTTCAAATAAATATTAGTCAACATCCTAATTGTCTTTAACACAGAATTCCCTATTATTATGTATTTGTCCTTAAGTGTTCCTGTACAGAAATCCCTGGGGGATGGTAGGCATGTCAGATGCTTCTGGGACATCCCAGAGAGCTGAGGAAAGAGCTGTGATGGTTGTTAAACTGTTCAAATGTTCAACTTCTGTTTGTTCACAAAAAACCTTTCTGTGCCTCTGAGTGTCACCACTCCCTGAGCCCAAAGGACACAAACCTGATGAGTTGTGGTTCCCACTGCAGGGCCTGCACTTGGACCTTGGCTCTGCACAGGAGAGCTCTTCATNCCCATGTTCTTCTTCCTGCTCAACCTGGCCCTCGCTGACCTGGGCTGCATCTGCACCACTGTCCCCAAAGCCATGCACAATTCCCTCTGGGACACCAGGAACATCTCCTACACAGGATGTGCTGCTCAGCTATTTCTGCTCATCTTCTTCCTTGGATTACAGTATTCCCTCCTGACCATCATGTGCTATGACCGCTACGTGTCCATCTGCAAACCCCTGCAGTACGGGACCCTCCTGGGCAGCAGAGCTTGTGCCCACATGGCAGCAGCTGCCTGGGCCATTGCCTTTCTCAATGCTCTCATGCACACAGCAAATACATTTTCCCTGCCCCTGTGCCATGGGAATGCCCTGGGCCAGTTCTTCTGTGAAATCCCACAGATCCTCAAGCTCTCCTGTGCCAAATCATATCTTAGGGAACTTCAGCTTCTTGCTGTTAGTGCCTGTTTATTTTCTGGATGTTTTATGTTCATTGTTTTCTCTTATGTGCAGATTTTCAGGGCTGTGCTGAGGATCCCATCTGAGCAGGGACGACACAAAGCCTTTTCCACCTGCCTCCCTCACCTGGCAGTGCTCTCTCTGTTCATCACCACTGCAGTGTTTTCTCACTTGAAACCCCCCTCCATCTCCTCCCCATCCCTGGATGTGACCCTGTCAGTTCTCTACTCAGTGGTGCCTCCAGCCCTGAACCCCCTCATCTACAGCCTGAGAAACCAGGAGCTCAAGGCTGCAGTGTGGAAATTGATGACTGGATGGTTTCAGAAACAATAAACTGCTGACAACTTTCTGCAAATCACTTGAAGTAAAAGTCATCTTTGATACTTCTTGTTGTATTCATTTTGGAGGTTCTTTCTCTTTTTATTTACTTTTTTAATCTTGTCCACTAATAAATATAATTGTTTTTGCCATTTCTCATTTTGTTTCTCTCCACCTTCCCTGTGGCCGCAGACAGAGAGAATGAGCTCTTGGTGCCTTTAAATTAACTAAAGGGTCTCCCAGCAGAGTTTTCTGCAGAGATGCCACTTTTGTTGCCCTCTCTGGAGCTGCAGCAGCAATGTCTATGTGCAGAGCTGGGGCAGATCAGGACTGGCACAGCAGCTGTCCCCAGCAGCAGCACTTGGTGTTGCCAGTGCTGCTGCC